CCCCAAAACCCCAAAACCCCAAAACCCCAAAACCCCTCATAAAGGCCTTAAAATTGAAATATGAGAAGAACATTACCAGCCTAGCGATGAGTTCAAATGAATAAGACTCGATGACCTGGATCAAGTTGAAAAAGCACTCGAAGTTATCAATACATGTATCAATGCTTTTAGGACAGACTTGAAAAATAGAGACAAGAAAGACAATCCTCACAAATATCAATCTTTCATCGATAAAATACAGGGAAAGATTGATAAAATTGCTTCACAACTAGACTCAATCAAACAGCAAAAGCAGTTCCTAGATCATGATTCTCTCATTGAGCAGATGATAAGTCTGATGAAAGAGCTTCATTTTAGTGAAGACTTTAAACACTTTTGAATCAGAAATTACTTAGAATCTGTGTGATATCACCTCAAAATCAATAAGAGCAATATTGCCAGATTTGTTCACAAAGATATTGAACAAGAATGATTCAAAGCGGGATTGGAGAGGACCCAACGAAGACTTGAAGATACTAAAATGAGACTACAGAATTTCCAGAAGAAAACAGTTAATATGATAACCCTATCAAATCAAGATAAACTCAAACAGTGATATGAAATGATCACTGAGAGGAAAGGAAGAGATACCAAGGACTTCAAGATTCGCCTTGATTTATCAGACTCCAGAGATTATGATTTTATGGCAGCAGTACAAGACCAAATCCTTCCGGATTTCTCTCACTTGCGGATTGATAATGTGGGTAAAGATTTTTATTTCTTCAAGGACTTTATATTCTTCAATTTCCCTCAAAATATTGGATGACTTTATCTTAATTTGGGGTCTAAAATGTGAGATGCAGAAGCTATTAGTGACATCATTATCCACGTGAGCCCAAGAATATCTAGGGCATTTTATATTGGTAGTTGTGACATTAAGCTTCCTCAGATGAAGAACATACTTCAGATTTGTAAGAGAAATCAAAGAATTATTGGGCTTCTGAAATGAAAACTTGAATTAGACACAGTCCCAGATTTAGAGTACTGTTTGAGCAATTCAGAAATACGAGAAATACATTTAGATTTTTGAGGTGGACAAGATTACTGAGATTGGGAGAATCATCCAGAAAGATTTTCAAACCTAATTGAAGCTTTTTCGATGTGAACAGATTTCAAGTGCAACTTGAAGAAGATGTGTTTAGGAGGATGTGGGATGACAGAAGAACACTACAAGAAAATCCTCACAAATTTCGGGTTCAATATTATAAAAATTTCGGATCACTTTGTTTCATTCTCAACATAATCCTATAATTTCATATTCAAAATTATCTTTAAATTCCCTATTAGCCCATAAATTTTTCACTCCTTCATCAAGCCCATGACCAAGAAGAGTCTTCTGTTCTTTATCATGTTGGGTGCAGCCTTGGCTAAGACTACAGTACAAAAGAGTAAGCTAGTAAAAGTCATAGGAAGGGTCTTGGGTTCTGAAATAGAAAGCAATTTGACACTGGAATTGTATTTGTACTTTTAGTCTTCAATAATTAAGTTAAATGCAATATGTAATCTACTGCTGGCAAACATTTTGAGGTTTATTTGATTTCAACAGCTCAGACTTTATATGGGGTTTTGGGGTTTTGGGGTTTTGGGGTTTTGGGGTTTTGGGG